TTTTTAGAATCTAATTTTGTATACTAGTTAAACAAATTTGATTTAAAAAATTCCAAAAACTCAATCTCTTCTACGATCAAGATTTTTCTAATTCGTATTATAAGGATTTATAGTTTATCTAGCATACTCTGCAATAAAAATTTATTTTACAAGAATTTAATTATAGAAATAAATCAAAATAAAAAAATGAAAAAAAATAATCATGGGTGCCAATAATATACAAATCAATTCTAAAAAGTAGTTAATATATCTCAATGTTAATTTTTTACCATTAGTAAAACTATTTAATGTATATGGTCGTTATCTATTTGTAGAGACATAAAATTTGTAGTCAATCAAATGGCGCTACGTGGAAATTAATTTATTAAAAATCAAGTCATAATTTCTATTTATATTTTAGGAATTTTCATAAATTTAATTCCTAAATTTAAATAGTTAATTAATTGATATTTTAATATTTTAATTTTTGACCAATCAAATATTGCCAAGTGTCAAATCTTAATTCTTGGTAATAAATCACATGTCTTCTAGAAGATCTTAGGAGATCTAAGTAGACCTAAAAGATCTTATGTGAATCATTATGGACCAATCAAATCGCGTCCTACGATTCTTAAATTTGGTAGGGTTCTCCCTCCTACACCTATAAATAGGGGCTCTCCCTAAAGCAAAAAAAAAAAAAAAACACACATCACAATTTATGTTCAAAGTTCAAAAGCTCTAGAGAATTCTCTCGACGAAATTCAAGTGTTCTTGAAGATTCAAAGGCGTTCTTGAAGATTCGAAGCAAGATTCAAGCGCGTTCAATCTCAAGACTGGCGTTCAATCCAGAAACAAGCTGCAAAGCCTCCGAATAACGTTAGTAAATTCAAAACCGGCGTAGAGAAGATTCAAGATCTACTTTGCGACGAAGACCAAGGATTCATGTTCTTCGCGTTCTTGGGATATTTCGACGTTTGATCCGAAATCAAGGCATTGACCCTCGGATTAACGTTAATTCAAGTCAAATCAAGTCAAGGAGAAGATCAAGCCAAAGATTTCGCTCCAAGACTTAAAATTGTTCGTGAGAAGAATTAGAGGAATAATAGAGATTTTAACCCGTTATATTTATTTTGATTCAAGAAATTTATTTGAATAATATTTTTCGTGTTTATAAATTCAATACACGAAATTTGTTGTTACAAATTTTTGGCACGCCCACTGGGACTCAAACAAAATTTGTTGTTACAAATTTTTGGCACGCTCAGTGGGACATCTCTACCTCTCATCTCTTCTCCAAAATTCCTCAAATCGTCATGACTAGTCGCAAGATCGCCGTAGTCAAGATTCCTTCAACAAGTTCTTCAAGCTCCAACCTCGGCATCGTTACAAGAAGCATGGCCAAGCAACTGCAAGCATCTTCGGAGACGGCTCCTTCGCACGAGGTGATTGGAAGTGATAAGTTGCATCTTACCCACGAAGGTGATGAAGACGACTCCGCTTCATCAACTCCTCGCTCATCATCAAGCTCTTCATCAAATTCAAGCTCAAGTGTTGCTCCAGTTATGACAACCAATGCTACAACTCTTAAAGAGCACATCGCAAGCTTGATAAAGGTTATTGAAGGGCTCGCGAAGAAGGTCCAAGAGCAAGATATTCTCAAATCTCAAAGCTAATGGACAAGGTTGACAATGCTGAAACGAGCCGCATGAAGGACAAACAAGATGAAGATCGTGATGAGTCTGAAACATCCAAACAACAACAATTCCATGAAAGAGAGAAGACTCCAACATTTCAACATTCGTCTGATGGAATGATCCTCATTGATCAACTGAAGGATTTCATCATGGGGACAATTAAAGATAAGCTTGATGGTGGTTCCAAGTCAACTCACACCTATGCTAAGACATATACTCCAAGGATCGATAACTTGAGGATGCCTGTTGGATATCAACCTCTCAAGTTCCAGCAGTTTGATGGCAAGGGCAACCCGAAGCAACATATAGCCCACTTTATTGAGACATGCAACGATGCAGGGACCCATGGTGATTATCTCGTGAAGCAGTTTGTTCGTTCAGTCAAAGGGGTCGCATTCGACTGGTACACTGATCTGGAAGCAAACTCCATCGATCATTGGGAGCAAATGGAACACGAATTTCTTAGTCGCTTCTACAGCACAAGACGTACAGTCAGCATGATCGAGCTCACTACATCTCGATAGTGGAAGGAGGAGCCAGTCATCGACTACATCAATAGGTGGAGGAACCTAAGTCTGAATTGCAAGGATCGTCTGTCCGAGGCTTCTGCCATTGAGATGTGCATTCAAGGAATGAGTTGGGGTCTTCGTTACATCCTTCAAGGCATTCGACCGAGAACATTCGAAGAGCTAACAACTCGAGCCCACGACATGGAACTAAGCATGGCCGCAAGTGGAACTAATGGGCCACCGATTCAAGAACCCCAAAGTTTCAAGGATAGATACGAGCAAAGAAAAGGGGGCAAGTTTTCCAAGAAATCTCAAAATAAGGAGTCCATGACGATCAATGCTACACCTGTCAAGTTCAAAGGAAAAGTTGTTGATAAAGTCGTTGAAAAGAAGGATATCTCCAAGGAAGCTGAACAAAGAAGATTGACTCTGAAAGAAATGCAAGCAAAGCATTATCCGTTCCTGATTCAGACATCTCTGGCATATTTGACGATTTAATGGAAGCAAAACTCATTGAGTTACCTGAGATGAAGCGTCCTGAAGAAGTCGGCAGGGTGAACGACCCAAAATACTACAAATACCACCGACTTGTAGGGCATCCAATTCACGATTGCTTCGTATTCAAGGACAAGGTTATGCAGCTGACGCGCCAAGGAAAAATCTCACTGGAAGAAAGTAGTGCAACTGCTAATCATGTAAGCGAAGCATGCAACATGACAAATGAGCACGAATCTCCACTAGAGGAAAACAATCTGCCTGAGGTTGAAAACCACCATGTTGGTAATGATTCTATGATGGTCTTTACTGATGAAGATCTGCTGCTTGGTTCTAAGCCTACAACAGACCCTTGTTCGTGGTTGGCTATGTGCAAGAGCAAAAGGTTAATCGAATATTGATTGATGGAGGATCAGCAGTCAACATTTTTCTTATTTTTGTCATTTGACTAGATTTTAGGACGTGATTGTATATAATTTGTACAGTAAATATCTCAATCAAAACTCAAATTTAACTCATCTTTAACACAACTCAATTATCTCCAATATTATCAATATAATTAAATAATATCAACCAATCATTATTACACATCACATCAACTTTAATTCACTATTCACTCACTCACATAATTTTAACTAACCATCACTTTCAATCATTTTCTTCTACTTTTACATCAAATCAACATTAATTATTGTAATTTAAATATTATGTTAATATATCCACTAACAACTAACCATACTACTTTTTTTCAAACTTAACTATAGTTAAAAAAAAAAACTAGTTTTTAACTAGTTAAATTCATATCCAATCACCCCCTTAGTGCGCCACGAGATCTCGTCTTTCAAATTGGTTCTTGCTAACGAGTTTGTCCATTGAGGACTCAATTTACTATTTATGTTGCAGATATAATTTATGTTAGGAGCTTGACGTAGCACTCATAATAGCTTGACATACCAGATTGAGTATGTAGCTCTGTTAGGCCACTTTAGGAGAGCTCTTGCATGATTAACGTTAAGGTATTCAGTCAAGTGGCTTGTATGCGGGCTTAGGGTAACAACTGGCCGAAAGAAGATGACTTGGGGGTTAGGGGTGCCGACCTTCAGGAGACCCGAGGACAGGTTAGCTCTCAAGATGGGGTCAGGTTAGACCTTAAGACGAGGTCATGTTCGACCTCGAGTAAGTCACAACAGGCAGGTCAGAAGGTCGAGGTTATGACCTAAGGACCTGAAAGTTGTACAGTAAAAGTGGAAAGAATTCAAGTAAGAAGGAAAGAATCATTTGATAAAAGAATCTTGCCTAGATGGAAACGTGATAAGTTAGGAAGTAGGATCGCGTTAGATCTATTCTTTAACAAAGACTCTCATGGGTACCAAGATAACTACCCTATATAAGGGTGACAAGGTTCTTTTTCATATCTCATCACATTCTACGTCTTTAATTCTATATTCTCATATATAATTGATTGAGCAAGTTCTAACTTGAGCGTCGAAGATTTTTTCGGTGGCATCTCTTTCCGGCGTATTGCAGGTTACTGGAGCTCGAAGTCGAAGGCAGTTTAAGGTGTAGGCGAATCAACCTAGTTCATGACACAAAGTGACGCAACAGAGGTGACATACACGTGCCCATTTTTCCAGTTTCTGTTTTTGTTTCTTAGGCTCGACTAGACTCGCATTTTATTTGTGAAGACGCTGTTGTTATACAAAATTCTTAACAGTGGGTTAGGGAAATTCCCTAAATAAAAATGTGTTAATGGTGAAGAGGTCGGATGGCCTGAATTTTACTTATGATAAACAACTCGGTTTCTTAGTACTCATTTGGAGTTATTCTAGAGAGAGGAATCAAATCTTTTTTATTACAATAAATGAGAGGTATTTATAGTTTGAAACCAACGGGTACAACTCTCGATGCTCGCTCGTTTCCATTTAATGCGAGATGACGACGACATGCGACTCTGCAAGGTGGGTCCCATGCCTGATGATTGCTTTTTGTCACTACGATGGATATATGTCTTTTTCGTATCAAATGTGCTGCAGAAATCAATCTTCAAGTGTTTTCGATCGACTCCTTTGTGATGGGATAGATGAGTTCTTCAGGAGACTCGTTTTGACTTTGAGCTGTCTACTCACACTGTTTATTTCGTGGTAGTAGGTCGACCACACTGTTTACTCACGCTGTCTACTCACACTGTTTAATGCGAGCTGCGCACTGTTCAGTAGATTGTTTCTCCTATTCGACCTACATTTTATATATATTTAAAAATTTAAATTTACCCCACTTTTTAACCTCAGTTTTTTCCAAATTTTCTTTTTATTTTATAAGTGAATATATTATTTTAACACAATATCTTACATCCCTGGGAAGATTTCTAAAAATCGGTAAAAGCAAACGAAAACCAAGAAAAAGATATACTCCCCACACTGTACAGTGAATATACCAACTACTCCATGTACCTATTAAGAAATGAATAAATCAAAAGACCAAAGTCACCAAACTCCATTCACAAATCGAAATTTCATTTTAAAAAAGCCAATTGAAATCACACAACTGAGGAGCACATCGGTTGAATTCAATGGCGCAAGATTTGATCTGAAACGAGGACCTCCGATCACGCAAACCTCGTCGGAGAAATCAAGCGAAGCCCCGCGCAACCGGCACAAAAACATTAAATTCAGAGGTCATTCCCGTCGATTTCGATTTGCCGTACGACATCTGGTTTGGTCTTCGCCGGAGAAATAAAATGACGGCGAGCGGGTGTTCGCCGGCGATGGATATGTTCCGATCGGAGCAGATGCAGCTGGTGCAGTTAATCATCCCGGTGGAGTCAGCCCACCGCGCCATTTCCTACCTCGGCGATCTCGGCCTCTTCCAATTCAAAGACGTAAGTCCCGTGCTTTCATTCGGTTGATTTGTATAGATGCAATTATCGTTGAGATTGGGAAAGTTAAACCTGATTTATTGAAATGTATGCCTACAAAGGAAGAGAAACTGGACGTGTTCATACTAATCCACTACTATTTTTTTTTAATTATTATTATTAAATAGAAAAAGCAGTTAACTATTCTCCAAAAATAAGATGCAAGATAATAAAATAAAACAAACATAAACGAATTGCTGTATGACTTGGCCAAGCCGGTGTTGCATAATTGCATGAATTAAATGGAACTTGCTATTGCTGTATGATCTGTTAGGAATTTGAAAATTTTGATTCCACCCGATTTTTTACGGTTGAATCAAAGTACCCGCATTTTTGCTATTGCTGTAAAAATACACTGCCTAAACAGTAGGAACAAATTTGTCCAGGAATTTAGTGTTTTTATTTTTTCTTAAGTAAGTGATTGGGCGGGATAGTACTCTTTTACTGTGCATGCCAATATGACATCTTGTCAAGTGATGGTACTTTAGGATTGGATGATTTTTGGTTATAATATGAAATAGTTTCAAGTTTTTTCATCAACATTTGCTGTTGTTCTATTTTGAAGTTATCCGTTTTTAAGAACATTTATGTTGAGTGCATTAGTTTTTATTTATGTATTTATTTATTTAAAAAGAAACTAGTCTACAACTCGTGCACCGAAAGGATTTAAATCCATAACTGCATTTCAGGTACCACTAACGATTAGCCTATGCGTTCATTTTTTTGAGGGGGTGTGGGGGGATGAAGTTTTGGTAATGTTAAGCATGTTATCACCTTAATAACATATTGCAAGAGTAAAGTAACAAGTACATTGATGCAATATCGTTGAGTTTACGTATATTTATGATGTTCTTAGCTTTAGCGTGATGCTCATGTTTTGTTATTTCATTTTTCTTATTTTTGTAGCTCAATGCAGAAAAAAGTCCATTTCAGAGGACGTATGCCGCCCAGGTGCGTATGTGAATCCTGATTTTCATTTAGGAAGTGTAGTTAATCCGTGCGATGGAGTACACTTTGTCTCAAAATGTTCAATTAAAATTATGTTACACAAATTTTTTTTTTGTCCAATCCTTGTCCATAAGGACCATAACTGATTATTTGGACTAACCATATTGAAATATATTTTATTTAAACTTGCTTATTTTATTTTGTTTACATATATCGTGATAAAAAAGTCATCACTGTTTTAGCTGTTAATTGGAAATTATATAAATCTTATTGACATTCGTAAAATGAATAACCTTAGATTTTATAACGAATAGAAATATAGAATAATATTCGTTTGAAGCTGATCTCATGATCATTTACTTCATCATTCATAAACATATTTTCTTTGAACTCACTTATTTTTCTACTTATATCGGGTTTAAAAGTCATCACTGTTCAATTTTCTTTGTAAATTTATAGAGCTACATGTAAACGTAATAGTGCTGAAGTTCATCTAATGGCCGACTGCTAGTATAGCATGGCAGTACCTCTTACTCCTTTGCTAATCCTTAATCATAAACGTAATTCAAAATTGGCAGATGAACAAGCCTAATATTTGAGTTGCAGGTACTGTGACGAGTTCCAAACTTGCGATCACTGATAGAAACACAACTATTTGCTTAATGTTTTAAAGGTTAAATATAGACGCATCAAATTGAAGCTCTTAGCTACTAGTTGGAATTTCCAAGAATGAACATATATATGCATAATCTTTTGGTTGTAGAATAATAAAGAATGCTTTGTATTTTTCATCCAAAAATCTCCAATCTAAAGTTTTTGAAGTTTGTCCTTCGAAGAATTTTTTGCTTTCACTCAAATACAACTTATGAGCTAGCAAGGCATGCTTAATTATTCATGCAGATCAAACGATGCGCTGAAATTGCTCGCAAACTACGTTTTTTTAGGGATCAAATGGAAAAGACTGGCTTATTGACATCATCAAGGTCTTTTATGGGCAGTAATGTCAATTTGGAAGAGTTAGAGGTTGGTCCTTATGTGACGCCTGGTTCAAGTTATTTCACGACCTTGTATAATTTTGAATTCTTTGCCTATCCACTCTTATTACACCATTTTTTTTCTTGAAATTTATTTACCTACCATTACATATGCCTTTTGAATTCATGAGGGTGTTCTGTAACACTATGGAAATGGATCAGGTAAAACTTGGAGAGTATGAATCAGAGCTGTTAGAAATGAACGGGAATAGTGAAAAGTTGCAGCGTTCTTATAATGAATTTATAGAATATAAGCTTGTTCTACAAAAGGTAATATTGCCTGCTTGTCCAAGAATTGCTTTCCTTGAGATGATCTGAAATCTAGCCTTTTTATAATCGCAAGCACTCACCATTTAAATTTTTATCTAGGCCAGTGAGATTCTTCGTTCGGCTGACCGTAGTGTGACTGCCGAGCGCATAGGAGTTGAGGCAGAGGTCCTCGGTGACAGATCAATTGAGAGCCCCTTGTTACTTGAGCAGGTTGTTATATAGTTTACTTGTACCACTAAACTTCAACTTTATTTCTCCTTTGTCTCTTGGGCTAAACTCTGTGTCTTGTCAGAAGATGTTAACTGACCCATTAAAGCATGTGAAGTTTGGTTTCGTTAGTGGGCTAGTTTCGAGGGATAAATCCCTGGCTTTTGAGAGAATGCTGTTTCGCTCAACAAGGGGAAATGTATTTCATAAGCAAGTAGTTGTGGAAGAGCCCGTGGTCGATCCAGTTTCAGGAGACAAGGTAATAAAACTTGTTTGATTGTTTTTACTTCCTGATCGTACAAGTTGTGATATTTACTTTCGTATCTATTCCTTGCCTCAATAATTCTTTGATCTTGATTATGAGATGCGTAGGATTTAAATCTTATTTCCGTCACACATTGAATTTTTGTAACATTGTTTAGGCATTGACCTCTTTCATGGCAATTTGCATTTTGCAGAAGGAAAGTAGTGGAAAATTAGGATGTGTTCTTTTAACTTTTTCGTCATTGTATCTCTTAACTAGTACAACGCTCGTAAACTACACGAGTGTTTAATAAAAAAAATTAACTGTGCAACAATAATTGAAAATTCAATATCATTACAGTGCTCAGTCTCTCTGTAGTATTTATTTAAGTTGACACATAAATTTTTAGTTTTTTTTTTATATTAATTTGTCCCGAGTTGTGAAATTGTTTTTAAGTTATTTTCTTAATTAATAATGTCTGTTATGTATTGTTTCCGTTCGATTTCACCCTTAACTCTATCAGTATCATAGTCTGCAAGTGTTTTCTGAAATATCTAAAATGTACTGATGCTTCGTAATGATATGTGGGATGATAATTTTTAGGTTGAAAAAAGTGTGTTTGTCGTCTTTTATTCTGGAGAAAGAGCCAAGAACAAAATACTGAAGATATGCGATGCATTTGGAGCAAATTGCTATCCCTCCACAGATGATATTGACAAACAGCATCAACTGGTAACAGAGGTATGAAATAAGCCGATCTTCTAGTTATTTGCTCGATGATGCCATAAGTAATATTTGTTTGCGCACCAGTACGAAACTGTAGGTGGTTTCTATATTACACAACTTTGAGTACAATTAGATGTAAATAAACTGTAGTGGATTCCTCTCTCGCATAACTTTGAGTGCAATTAGATTCAATTAACATTCTGCTTTTGTATGACATATGCCTTCTCACAAATCATTGGAAATCTCACTTTTATTCAAGAGGATAACATCATTATTTTTCTAAATAGCTACCTCAGATTTTTATTTCTATTCAGAAATTACTTAGATTTTGTTTCTCACTAGGTATCAGGAAAACTCTTAGAACTAAAGACCACTATAGATATGGGGAAGCTGCACCGGACCAATCTGCTGCAGAGTGTTAGCTATGAGTTTGAGCACTGGAACCTCCTGGTTAGTAATTGTAATTTTAAGTACATTTTGAAAAAACATTTATTAGTATTACTATGGCATTGCCTCATGAGTTTGCCGCTTGCTCTCTGTCGGGTAAGAACCTAGACAATTGCATATTATACTCAGTACACAATTGCATATTATACTCGGATGTACTGACAGAGAGAAGCGGCAAAGCACGGAATATTGATTTGTTTTAGGGAATATGTTACTGTCATGTTACTAAAGTCTATATTTTTCAACTTGTTAAGGTCAAGCGAGAGAAATCTATTTATCATATTTTCAATAGGCTCAGCCATGATGTTACAAAAAAGTGCTTTGTTGGAGAAGGCTGGTGCCCTGTCTCTGTATCAAATCAGGTACGACTATCGGGGTGTCTGCATTTTCCTTGGTGGCATTGCCAATTGTTTGACTATTCAATATTTATATATATTAGGCCGTCCGTTATAAACGAACTTGATACTGCAGATTCAGAATGTTCTAAATCAAGCAACTATGATAGCAATTCACAAGTCGGAGCTGTATTCCAGGTGCTGCAGACCAAGGATTCGCCTCCAACATACTTCCGTACTAACAAATTTACTTCAGCTTTTCAGGAAATCGTTGATGCGTATGGGTGAGTAGATTTTATTGCACATATAACTAATCTTGAGGACAATACTTAAGTCAAATTTTCAGTCATAACTAAAAGATAAAATATGAAATATTAATGATTAATAGGTTAACACAAATATATTTTTATTTTCTGGTTATAAAAGGGTCGCCAAGTATCAGGAAGCAAATCCCACGGTTTTTACTATTGTCACCTTCCCGTTCCTATTTGCTGTCATGTTCGGAGACTGGGGCCATGGGATCTGCCTGTTTCTTGCAGCATTGTATTTCATATTTAGGGAGGAGAAACTTTCCAGACAGGTAATAGTTATTTTGCTCCTTAGTCTGGTTTAGAAGCAAGGTTTGTCACTGCTTTATGCTGTTTTGACTTCGTGCAACTCGTTCATCTCTGAAACACTTTCTTTAGCTGGTGTTTTGGTTGTAGTCGCCATGTCATTTTTGGTTTCCCATTAGTTTAATAATTTCTTTAGCTGGCGTTTTGGTTGTAGTCGCCATGTCATTTTTGGTTTCCCATTAGTTTAATAATCTAGCAAAGCCCATGCCCTGAATCTTGCGCTTACAAATCCAGAATAGTATACTGAATTGAAGGCCCTACTATTGACTAGTTAATCCAGTGTAATTATTTGAAGTAAGCTTGATGTTCTGTTGAAGAGCAGACAATTCTGAGATATAACTATTACAGAACACATTGTGCTTCTCATTCCCTCTTCATTTTGATGGGGATAACGTTTTCTTTTATTTTGAGTGTGTTTCACTGCATTCTACCAACAGAAGCTTGGTGACATCATGGAGATGGCATTTGGTGCTCGCTATGTTGTGATGATGATGGCTCTGTTCTCGATATATGCTGGAGTTATCTATAATGAATTCTTCTCTGTTCCTTTTGAACTATTTGGGCGCTCAGCCTACGACTGCCGTGATGCAAGCTGCAAGTTGGAACTAGAATTTGAAAATTTCATATTGATTATTTATTATTTCCGTCTGAAAAGCTTCAATATTTCCCTGGTATAATTTTTCAGCGATGCTTACTCTGTGGGGTTAGTAAAAGTGCGTGGACACCTATCCATTCGGTGTAGACCCAAAATGGCGTGGAACACGCAGCGAGTTGCCGTTCCTCAACTCTTTGAAGATGAAGATGTCCATTCTTTTGGGTGTTGCTCAGATGAATCTTGGGATGATTCTGAGTTATTGTAATGCGAATTTTTTCAGGAATGATTTGAATGTCTGGTGAGTTTTGAAATATATTTGGCGAGCAGCGCACATCAGGTGTAACTCGTTTTGTCAAAACTTGTATCACTTGTGTTTATCTTAGCCTGCCTGATTGTTCGGTCTGATCTATTTTGTATTGCCTCAGGTATCAATTCGTACCTCAGATGATATTTTTAAACAGCTTGTTTGGATACCTTTCGCTGCTCATAATCGTCAAGTGGTGTACTGGTTCTCAAGCGGATCTATATCATGTGATGATATACATGTTTCTCAGCCCTATGGATGATCTGGGAGACAATCAGCTTTTCACGGGCCAGAAATTCCTCCAGGTTTGACTTTACCATGATATGTATGAAAAAACAGTTGTTTAGCTTATCGTCATTCCTTTTTCATAACGATTTCATTCATTTTTTACAAACAGATATTGCTTCTTTTAGCCGCACTAGTTGCTGTACCATGGATGATGTTTCCAAAGCCATTTATTCTGAAGAAACAACACGGGGAAGTATGTTCACATTCATGTTAGGTTTGCTTGATGTCATTACCTGGCAAAACTTTTAGCATTTTTTGTTGATTTAAATGTGGTTTTTGTTCAGAGGCATCTCGGTCAAACCTATGTACCTCTTGAGAGCATTGATGATGGTACATTTGAATTGGAAGAACCAGTGATTTCACATGGGCACGAGGAATTTGAGTTTGGTGAAGTCTTGGTGCATCAATTTATACACACCATAGAGTTTGTTCTTGGATCAGTGTCTAACACAGCTTCTTACCTACGTCTGTGGGCCCTCAGGCATGTCTCTCTAACAACTTTAAACTCATCTGTATATGCATACCATGCTAATTGCTTGCAGATATTTATATACACCCGCAGTGTTGTTTTCCGAGTGATCCTTTCTTTATTAGCTTCTGTGGAACATTGCCACGAGTTATTTGTATCAGAGCTAATTCACTCGGAAAATGGAATTTATATCTGCAAAATGGAAAACAATCTTTGGTTTGTTTAATTGTTTCAGTAAATTAGACAGCGCAAATCGCAAAATTCTTATCATTAGGTATTCTTCCCCTGCTAGAATGCTCTTTCTTCTTGTGTGTTCAAATTTATTTAACTCTCTCTCTCTCTCTCTCTCTCTCTATGTAGTCTTGCGCATTCCGAGTTATCTAGTGTATTCTACGAGAAGGTCCTACTTCTAACCTGGGGGTAAGTTCAGTTAGCTCCATAAACATACAATAATGATTTTGAGATTTCACCTGATCACCAGCCTTTTTTCCCATGCTGTAGGTACAATAATGTGTTTATTCTTATTATTGGCTTGTTCGTTTTCATATGTGCGACCATTGGCGTGCTACTAGTGATGGAGACTCTCAGTGCTTTCCTGCATGCCTTGCGGCTGCATTGGCTTGAATTTCAGGGCAAGTTTTATGAACGAGATGGCTATAAATTTTCTCCCTTCTCTTTTGCATCATCCTTTGAGGAGGATGAGGAGTGAATGAATGTGATACCCAGCTAAATGACGCGTGGTTGTCAATTTACATGAAAAATTTTACACGAGGACATGTCTTAACGATATAGTTTTACTTGCGTAATTTTCTTTGAAAAAGTTGTACATGTACACGAAACAATATATCCCTATGAGTTGCATGAGACTCGATGCTGATTTTCAGCAGACGATACTTTTCTTTAGTAGTAGTTTTCGCCCTTTACTTGTGGACTGTTATATATGCTATACTTCCAGTTGTACGAAACACTCATTTATTGTAGAGTTTAAGTTCGAGCAGTTGATTGATTAACTAAGACAATTGTGTTCTGGGTTTTAGATGGAAAGATATATTGTTGAGGAACCAGACTCACTGAAGTTCGTCGGCCAAGTTTGACAGGAATTCAAATTCATGAAGTCGATGGATCAATGCTTAATGATGAACTAATCATCAAATCCTCTTGTATATTAATACAAAACGTGTTGTATATTAATATAAAATTTGCTGAGTCTAAATGGCAAGCTCTTACGCTTTACATGAGTGAAAAATTATGCTTTGGCTTGATCTATTCACATGTTACTCATTATTATTTTCCATATTTAGGCTTGGAATTTCCAAATGAAATATATATTCTTTTTTTTTTTGTTCAAAATCATGNAGCAAATCATTTTCCCCAGTGAAAGAAACCCATTCATCCTCCCCTCGCGACCCTATCATCCGCTATTGCGCTCTTGCCATTCTTAATTTTTGCAGCAAGAAGAGAAACCTCATTGGACTAAAGATGCACATATAGGAATTTGCGGAGGAAAAAAACTTCGTCGGCTTTTTTTTTTTTTTTTTTAAATATATTTTAAACTTTGGCACACTCAACACTCTTTATTCCTCTCACAGTCGTGAACAAGAATAGAAAAACCTTTAAAATTCCACGTTCAAGATAAGCAAGAACGCAGTATGAGCTTACGCATGGGTGCTAGTCGATGAACGCCACTCGCAACATAGTTTTCGCTTTTCAATCGACGTGATTTCGAGACTACGATTGTGCGAAAATGTCAAATAAGTTCCCAGATTCTTGGTTATATTGATATTGATATGTTACTTGTTTGAGAATCTTGACCACGTTTTGGAATGCAGATATTCATCTTTTCGAACAACTCGACCCACATATGTCCATATTCTTACCACATAATCTATTCATTATTTTTCTTATCAGTATTTTGTAACTCAAAACATGATTTATATTGATTCAATGTATTTATAATTTTTCTGTGAATCTTTATTATATGTCCATCATTTTAATTTTTTTACATAAGGATGGAGATCGAACAAATTGATCAAGCATTTATTCCTCAAGTTGATTCGATTGTCCTGCCTAAAATCGGTCAAGAATTTCAACCAGATGAAAAGGCTCATACTTTCTATAATACATAGCCTAAGATGTGGGGGTTTAACATTAAAATTTGAAATGGCAAAATAATGAAATAGATGACATGTTTGTTTGTAGGGATTTCACTTGCTCTAAAGAAGGTAAGGCAAATGAGTCCTATCAAAAGAATAAACAAGCAATGGCAGAAACTAGCGAACGAAGAAGAGGGGAAACCATATGTAGTTGTCCGGCTCGAATGAGTGTTCGAAATGATGTTTGGGTAGTAAAGGATTTTGAATAGAAACATAATCGTCCTCTTGCAACTCCTAAAAATACTCATTTACTCAGATCTTATCGAGTTGCATCGGCTATAAAACGTGCTCTTGCGCTTGTTCGGGAGTATGATGAAGCAAATATTCGAACATCCCAACAAGTTAGATTGCGTGATATTACTTCTGGTGGTCCTTTTATGATGGGATTCCTAGAAAAGGATATTCAGAATGAGAAAATGACACGTAAAGCGGAATTGAATGGACATGATGCACTGAACTTCATTCACCAATCCAAAATGGAAAAAGAGAGGAATGGAAATTTCTATTACGTTTATGAGATAAATGATGATGGTGTTTTCTTAAGGTGTTTCTGGTTCGATAGTGCATCAAAGAATTCATATGCATTGTTTGGTAGTGCAGTTGTACACTACTTATAAAATGAATAAGTATGGAATGGTATTTGCGCCTTTTGTTGGTGTCAACCACCACTGTATTTTGTTGTAGATGACACGGTGATGAGAAAAAAGAGTTTTTTGTTTGGTTATTTTCCAAGTTTTTAGATGCAATGTTAAACCGACATCTAGAAGTTATTATCACAGACCAAGATGCTACTATATCAGTTGACGTAGCTGAGGTATTCCCACATACTATACATCAATATTGTATTTGGCAGGCCTTAAACAAACTTTCTGAAAAGCTCGATCATGTTCTAATTTACACCACTGTACTTTATCCAAGATTATTAACGACTTTGAGACTCCTAATGACTATGAATATAGATGGAATTCGTTGATGAGTAATTCTCAGTTAAGTTGTAATGAGTGGTTGTCAAATATGTATATATCCATCGTCGCTGGGTTCTGACATATATGAAGGGTGTTTTATTCTGCTGGCATGTCTAGCAGCCAACGAGTTGATATAATCACGCATTATTTAAGGGATACATTGATAAGAAATGCTCATTGAATGATTTTTCACTCACTATAGTAGGGTTTTACGCATCAGAGGCATGAAAAACTATTGGTTACTCATGTTGATCTTAGTGAGAAGCCGAGGGTCAACACTTAATTTGCAATGGAAAAGCAGATGACTGAGATCTATACGAGAACAATATTTTTTTTTTTTTGCATAAATCGTTCAAAAAAATTGAATTCTATAAATGCACAATGGTCAATTGGCGAGTTTATGAAGTTTGGCGATTTTGATATTGAAATAACTGCCCAACGTCAACGTGTCTTGATATATGATGTCTCAAAGGATTTTATAAGTTGCAACTACAAACAATTTGAGTTTGAAGGGTATCCTTGTCTGCACATGCTATGTTGGATGAATGGAACAAGTGATGCTACTACAAAAAAAGTACGTTAAATAAAGGTAGACGAAATATACAAAAGTACTCTTCTTTATGACACATCACATGATTTTGTAGAAAGTAAGTACTTACAAGGTAGGCGAGAGAAGTTGATGCATGTGGCAAGAGAATTCAATATTTAACTTAAAAAAATAACTTTATACACTAGGGCCTCGTTTACTAGTCTTGATAGAATGGGATAAGGTTGGTTAACCAACATTATCCTTCGTTTACTAAATAGGATTGGGATAAGAATACAGATGACGTGACATGAGTTGGCGCACGCGTGTATCCTTGTTGGCGGGATAAAAGAATCCGACCATTATGGTGTGATAAAATTATCCTTGGTCTTAATGACCTTTATTTAATTTAAAATAATTTTATTCAATCTAAAATATTTTTATTTAATTTAAATAGTATTATTTAATATTTAAAATATAAATTTAAATAATTTTTATAATTTTAAAAAATATTTTTAATATAAAATAATATCATTCAATTTAAATTAATATTATTTAATATATAAAATATCAATTTAAAATAATTTTACTTAATTTTAATCTATAAAATATTAATATAATTAATTTTATTTAACTTAAAAAAAATTGTGTAATATAAAATATTTTTATTTAATTTAAAATAATATTATTTAATTTATAAAAATATTAATTTAATTAATTAAATCGGTAATTTTATGTATTTATCATAGACTTTTATCCACTTTGATAAACATGTAATAATTTGTATCCAAAATCAAATTAGAGGAATTAATTTGTCCAATTCCATCATCCTTATGAGCCTAATTAAAATTAGAAACAGAATGCAATGAATAATTTTCCACTAGATGGATTATTCTTTTAGGTTTTAAACGTATGCTGAGAAGATATTTGCTATACTTTATTACTCTACTATAAATACAATAAAAAAAGATGAATACAATCACATATAAAAATGACTTTCTGTTACTGGTCCAGTCGTGCTAAGCACGGCTTGAGAAAAATATAAATTGAAAATACAAGTTGTTAAAATTTAGGAGGACTGGATTGCAGTTTTTATTCTCCAGCCTTGTTGAGCACGGATTACAGTTTGTTAAAATCTAGGGTTTGATGCATTCATGTAAGCTGTATATATTTGCGTTTTTCACGTGTTGTCTCATCCTCTCACAGGCTCTCAGCCGGCGGACTACTTTCTGTGGTATGCTCTCTATATTCTATATCACTATCTTCTGTGTCAACATACTTGTAGAAAATTTCTTTATACACCATAATACGCCATTAAACAACTTGAGGATATCGCTAAGCATTGATCTCTCCGCGTTTCAAGTTCGTAATCCTAACTGTCTCCCGAAAACAGCCACTTCCCGATCTAATTTCACGGATTTTTACTTTACTTTATATGTGTTTCGTTTGATTTTCCTACTAGCTGTGATTGTCTTTTTGTTTGGAGTTTTACTGTGTTTAGTTGTTTCGAACTCACATGTTAGATCATGGAATTGGTTTGTACGTTTTATGTGGATATTTTATCATCTTCTTTGTGCAGTTGATCCGATTAATTTCTTACAGTTACATTGTTACAATCCTCGTTCAATTGTTATTTGTCTATTCTTTATTTCTTAGATACTTTTTCTGATGTTTTGGATTTTGTACATGGTGTTGCTCTTTTTCACAAGCTTTTCAGTTGTATATTGTCTATCTTCAAAATTTCTTGTCTGATTATATTAATAGTGCTCATATGTTGTCATATGTGCAGGTAATATTTGGAGTAGAACCTCCTGTATCTCTGTTTGGCTTACGTGAAACATAAAAACTAGCAAAAATGGTAAGCTTACGGACACACCTGTTCTATACTATCATTGAAATATGCTGTTGGCGTTTTAACTCAGTATTCCCATTTAATACCTGCAGGTGAAGTTCACAGCAGACGAGCTGCGTAAAATTATGGACTACAAGCATAATATCCGTAATATGTCCGTCATTGCTCATGTTGATCATGGTAAGGAGGCTGTGAAACTGTGTGTTACATTATATCTATGGGTTGTTATGTTTTACGCGTTTTGTCGAAAAAAACAACACGAGAAAGCTTCCTTTTACTGGACCACTGAATGAACAATGTTTCCAATGTTGTTTCAGGAAAATCGACCCTCACCGATTCACTTGTTGCTGCTGCTGGCATTATTGCCCAAGAGGTTGCTGGTGATGTTAGAATGACAGATACACGCCCTGATGAAGCCGAACGTGGTATCACCATCAAGTCCACTGGTATCTCCTTGTACTATGAGATGACTGATGATTCCCTGAAGAGCTTCAAGGGAGAGAGAAATGGCAACGAGTACCTCATCAATCTCATCGACTCTCCCGGGCACGTCGATTTCTCTTCCGAGGTGACGGCTGCCCTTCGTATTACCGATGGCGCTCTTGTTGTGGTAGACTGTATTGAAGGAGTGTGTGTCCAAACTGAGACTGTCCTCAGGCAGGCTCTCGGTGAAAGGATTCGCCCTGTCCTGACTGTTAACAAGATGGATAGGTGCTTCCTCGAGCTCCAGGTCGATGGTGAGGAAGCCTACCAGACTTTCCAGAGGGTTATTGAGAATGCTAATGTGATCATGGCCACTTATGAGGATCCTCTCCTTG